GACATACTTCAGACTAGTTCAAATATTCTTAGTGCTGTAAGACTAACTTTTTCTGGAACATCAAATAAAGGGCCCTTCACTATATTCTGTTAAACAGTCCCATGCCGGAGAGGCCAATTTCTAATAATTAATGCCCTGCAAGACTGAGAGTTTCTGCAATGCCAGCTAAAGGAACGACGCGAAACAATATTCTGATTATCTACTTTTATTCTTTTTAACTTAGATTCTAGTGCAACATTTTTGTATTAATCTACTTAAACATAAACACACTGGGTTTTGTTAAAGTTTATATATATGAAGCTCCACATTGATTACTAAGCATAGTACTAACTTTGAGATATGTAGCGCGAAGTGAATAGTCAAGTAATCATCCACAGTGCGGATATTGTTAATGATATTACCGAAATCACTAGAGTGTCTTTTCCGGAAGTTGAAAAGGCAGTCAGAAGCCAGTAGAAACGTTCATGTTTTCTGACGTCACGGTAAAGGAATGCAGCGTGGAACTTATATGTTATTTCACTTATTAGTAACTTTACTTAGTTTGACAATGGCTCTTTTCCATAAAAAATCTGAAGGTTTTTTAAACTCATTTTCGCTTGTGTCGCTTCCAACCACTCTTATAATTAGGCTGTCCTGATATTGTGGCGTGTTCACAGCCCACTAACTTCACTTTCCACGCTGCATTCCTTCACCGTGATGTCATAAAACATGAACGTTTCTACTGGCTTCAGACTGTCTTTTCAACTTCCGGAAAAGACACTCTACTGATTTCGGTAATAATTATGTCCTATAAGTTCTACTATTGTATTAAACTATTTTTGATAGAAACTTTTACCAAAGACGCGTTCCATATTACCTATATCGTCTGTTTTGCTAAGTGATAGCGTTTCAGTTCATGCATGCATTATCCATCAAAATCCGCTCTTCTGTCCTAACCCCAACATTGCAATTTCCCCAATGTGTGGTATCCTTTCTCGGCCTCACTAGGGTGACCGGTATCTCCGAATCTCAATTCAGTAACAGGTAGTGTGTTCTTGTCTGTCAGATATCCACTGTCTTCACGCCATATGGCATCATTCTTGTCACAATTACATTTTCCTCCACTTGCACAGCTGTTGGTCATTCCACATGCACATTTTCCACTGTTGACGGCCGCGCCGCCCCAGTAATTCATCTTTGTGCCTTGACGTGATACCCACCAACCATAATATAATCCCAAGTGCCATAAAAGCCTACCTTGACATTCATATTTTATAAATTGCTCACATCTTTTGGACTGCTTCATAATTGCAACAATATGTTCCATGGAAATATCATATTTAACTTTTCGTTTGTAAGAACCCGCAGGATCATATCCCTTCACAAGCGTTCTTGATTCACTATCATGTCCAATCACCGTCACACCAACACGATTCTTTGACGTCATATCACAGTATACTTGAACCAATGGCGGTGAACTGAGTCCTTTGGGATTAATGTAATACATTCCACTGCGTGTTGAAGGGTGTTTTATTAACAAAGCTGAACAAGACGTCGGTGAATGTAACCTGTCAATAAGCTTCACAATATCTGAGAAAACAAAATAATTTTTTTGTTTGTTTTGAATTAGCTGATAAACTCAAAAATAATTCCTGCGACGCAGAAGCTTAATACTCTTCTGGCTACAGCTTATAATCAGGGTAGATGTACAGTAGTGGTGCCGTGCAGCTTTGAAAAGAGTTAATGTATCGAACTGAATCTCTCAGGATTTAAATGATACATTCTGCTAGTTGATGATGGACATTTTTTCGTAATATTGAACAAGCTGGAGAATGTAGATGTGCCATATTAGCGCGGTTCATAATATCTATAAAACAACAATTTTTCGTTTTGGTTTGGAAATCTTTATACTTTAAATCACTTTAACTTCAAAAGCTGTCCTTCCGGTGTCTACCCTGGTTGCCAGAGGTTCTCATATCCTCCTTCAGGCCGTTTTCCACTTCAAGCGTAACGTACCGACACGTATCAAAACACATTTTAAATTTCAAAATTTAGTGAATGTTTATTGGTTAATATTTCCGTAGTACTCTAAAAAGTTGACTTGCATGCGACTAACTTTTTATTTTGATACGCGAATCAACCGTAAGTACGTAAATTTGAAAACCCATCTTCAAGCTGCGCATGCTCACCGGTACGATACGGGCGAAGTGGAAAACGGCCTTTATTCCCGCTCGTATTTATTTTACGCGAGGCGAAGCGGCGAAGAGAACCTCTGGTGGCACGCGATATAAATCTCACTTCCATGCCGACTTGCCGTTTGAAAACTTAATTGCAAAACCAGTTTTGTATTTTGTGACGTGTTTAGACTTCCGGGTTTGTCATACTACAAAAATAGCTCTCTTCAGACTGTTTGGCAGCCTTGTGTAAAATATTCAAACTAAGTAGCCTAAACATGTAGATTATTCATTAGAAACATGTAGATTATTCTCGCAACGTTGTATAAATTGTTGCAAACGAGAGAATTCATATATAACTTTTCCGGAAACTCGATTTCAGGACGTTTGATTTTCTATAACTTTAACATTTTTATTATCTTTTTATTTTGTTACCTTGATATTGTTTTTCTAGCTTTCTAATCATATTTCCTTGACTTTCGATTTTCTTTTCTTGACTTTCAAGTTTGTTTTCATGAATGTTGATTTTATTATCTTGACCTTGAATTTTCTTTCCTTGTTCTTGAATTTTCTTTTCTTGAATTTGAATTATGTTGTCTTGATTTCGAATTTTCTTTTCTTGAATGTTTGTTTTGTTTTCTTGATTTTGAATTTTTGTTTCTTGATTTTGAAGTTTCTTTTCTTGATGTTCAATTTTCTTTCCTTGATCTTGAATTTGCTTTCCTTGAATTTGAATTATGTTGTCTTGATTTTGAATTTTCTTTTCTTGAATGTTGGTTTTGTTTTCTTGATTTTGAATTTTTGTTTCTTGACTTTCGATTTGTTTCTTCAATTGCTCAAGCTACAATCAAATTTAGTCTTCAGTTTTTGTATCACGTGTGTATATACGAAATATCAAATGAGACTACTTGAATACCGCCATACTGAATTCATAAATCCGCCGTATTGAATTCGACTAGGAATAATTGTTTTGTTGTCTTAACCGCGTGCTACATGTCAGACACGATGCGCATGTTTTATACAGAATACTTTAGACGGCGAGAAAGGTTTATTTCCTTTCTTATATTTACGTTGAACATATGTTGATATGCTATTAAGGAGGCTCCTTACAGTTTCCAATATATATCGGTGTTTTATCATGACAACATGACGTCACCATCTATATGGCGTATATCACATAAAAAGCCGTCTTAGCGGGCAAATTAACCACGGTGACCTATACCTTTTTTATTGCAGAAAATACATTGTTGTGAAGTTTTGAATCTTTTTTAAAAGTTATTTGAAAATCGCCAGTGTAGTTTTCGAGAAACTGAATTTCAGCCTTTCCAAGGGTTAAAATGCAATCTTAAAGGCTGAAATTCAGTTTCTCGAAAACTACACTAGCGATTTTCAAATAACTTTCAAAAAAGATTCAGAACTTCATATATAACCATGTATTTTCTGCAATAAAAAGGTAGGTCACCGTGGTTATTTGTCCGCTAAGACGGCTTTTTTGGTTGACATAGGCCATACAGATGGTGACGTCATGTTGTCATGGTAACGTAAAGAGTAGCGATTGTGGGTTAAAATTACTTTTTTATATAAGAGGAACCAATGTCTTGTGCAATAAATAGTTTTTTAGATTCAAATAGCTTTTAGTTTAAAACACCGACATATATTGGAAACTGTAGGGAACCTCCTTAAAGTGCCACTAACCCCAAATATAATTTTTGGTATTTGTAATATTTGGGTCATTCTGAGAAGAAATGTAATGTGTCTTTATAGTAAAAAAAATCTCATCTTGATCAATATGATATCATATCGTGAAACTTTGACGGTGAAAAAGTTGATCAAGATGGGATTTCTTGTAATAAAGATATTTTATGGAAAATGAGACACTGTGGTTTTAAAATCTTCATGCATACCCCAACAACGTTTGTTTCCTTAGCCTTCCTTGGATAATTGCTGACTTCTACTGGATGTCAAAAAATGCCCCATTACGTTTTCGGCATTAATCCTATTAATATTGTCATTGATATAAATTACAGATTTTTAGTTTCAAAAGACTATTTATGCTTTATTTGTTATTGCGCTCATTTCTGCGTTCTCTCTTATTTGCACCTGTATATAAATTTTTTTCAAAATCTCTTTTGTCTCTCATATATTATACATACATAACTATACAACATAAATAGTTGTGTCATTTTTGTCCCCATGCAGAGCCATTTTCACTCGGTGAAAATTAAGGAGGACGCACGTGGCCATGGGCCTTGCATGATCGATCCCATGTTTATTGAAACTTTTCGTTCTTAGTTGACTATATCAGAAGAAATATAGAACCATATAATATCGTGTCCATATATAACTATAACACTATAAGCACTTGCAAAATGTGATCATAACATATGGGGAACAAACATGTTTACGCAATTGTAAAGAAAGCATCTGAGCGACTCTATTTTTCAACTCAGTTAAGACACTCTAAAATAGGTAGTAAGCAACTAGTCCAATTGTTTAAATCGTGTTTAACAAATAGATAAGATTTTGCCGTTGTCTGTTTTGTTATAGATACACAGTGTGACGTCATAATGTGGGATGAACAGAACAGTGGCTCACGATCCGCCATATAAAAAGAAAACCCCCGAATTAAACAGGTAAATAGTTTACTTTTTATCCACCCAAACATTTGGAAATTTGAAAAAGTCGAAATTTTACAAGTATCATGCGCACATGATCTATACAATTAAGGGAATGCGATTGGATAAGGTTTGTGTGATGTAATTCCGTGTGTCTGTCTTCTAATAATCATGGCTCTCGACCAATGAAAGCGCTTGAATTCTTAACGTTATTGTATAATAGATACTTGTTGGAGTTTGCTTGTCCAGTTTTTCACGGCAGTCTACCACCTGGTCTCGTAAACGATCTTGAGGGAATTCAAAAACTTGGTATGCCTATAATATTACCTTCAGCATCGTACCAAGAGGCATTAGCGACTGCAACTTACTAAACTTTTCCAACCAATTTTGAACAACGAGACTCATAAATTTCATAAATTACTACCCACAGCTCCTCGATGAATTTAAGGAATAGGGCGTGAATTTAAAATACCTACAGTTAAGACAGACCGTTTTAAGAGTATTATTATTAGTTTCTCTATAAAAGCGTATCAGTAATTAGAACTGGTTATACGTATATTTGTATATACATTTAAGTTTTATAATTCAGGCAATATATCTGAAAAGGTTATTGTGAATACACTATATCTATTAAAGAAATAAGATATACCTATACTACAGAGAAATACGGTACCATACGATTCACAGTCATAATATACAGTAAGAGATTCTGTTTGCGTTAAATTTTGAATAACATAAGAACAACTACCTTGTCACTTTGCGATAAACCAAAAGCGAAGCTCATCCAGGCTGAGAAAATGAGGATTTTCAACAGAATCTTCACCGACATAATTTTGTAAATTTCGTCTCCAAGCAAGTTCTGTCTTCTTCCTTCAGCTCCTTGAGACGTAATGAATGCTTATAGCTATTGTGTTCAGTTTTAGTGTACACGCCTCTTGACAACCGGTTAAAAACATATCTGACAAAAGTGCCAAGCGATCTTCATTAAACACCAGCGTCTTGCATTTACAGTACAGTCTGCAGATGTGCAGTGTACATGATCCAATATGGTATTATTGATCGGTTTCCTTGCACAGGTCAGCTTGCATGTGATTATATTTGTTAGAAGGTATAATTTCTACAGAATTTACTCTATTTTTCTTCAAAAACAATTGGAGTGCATGGATGCTCTTGTCCAATCAGAATTGAGTATTTTTATATCAAATGCTCACCGCCATTTATCGATTTACTGAGGTTAGTTCCAAATCATATTTACAAAATATGAAATTATTTTATTGCTTAATCGACTTTTACGAGATGCATGTCGAATTTATTAATTTTGTAATTTCTAAATTGGAATATCGTCAAAAGAGTGGACATAGTCTATCAAGATATGATTGTCTGGAAACCGAGCTGAAGGCATTGTGTTGTGTTGTTGTCTGAGTTTATGTTAATTTCTGCACGGTCATGGTGATTGGGCTCATTGTATTTTCGTATAATTAAGTAACCGCCCAATAGGGATGGCACGTGCAATATGCATGCACGATGAAAATTGAGACAAAGTCAAAGGATTTGTGGTGAGGTACAGTTCAACATCAGGCATGATGTTTGATTTTCAAATGAATTAATCCTTTAAAACACAATTAATAGAACTGTGTTCAAAATCAGCTCTCGAACAGTGCAATTAATTATATATTGCGACATTATCCACACAACCTACATGGTCAATTTCTGAAAGTTGGTATTTCAATAAGATCATCCGTGATAACGTTATATGATCGATTATTGAAGATTTACTTCCAAAAAATCATTCGAAGCAATCGGATTTCGAAAGATATCCGTTTTTCAACATACAAACTTCAATGTCATATTAATATTAGCATTAACGTCTTATTGACCGAGCGTGAGGTCTGTACTGTGAAATATCAGATTGAGGCTTTTTAGTATGGACCAAGCGACGAAGGAGCGAGGTCCATGCAAAAAACAGAGGTTTGATATTTCACCGTACAGACCGAACAAGCGAGGTCAATAATCGGTTTATTATATGGCTGAACTGAGTTTGTGAGCATATGCTTTTCGCGCGAATTAAATCGGCTATCGTCAGTTTCATTGGGTAACAATATACGGTAGGCATGCATGCTCAATCCAATCTCGTACCCAGAGCAATGCCGGTGCGCGGCTTAGGATGGCATTGGCTCTGGGGAAATTGACAACCGGAACCCCTAAATTTAGGGGTTCCGGTTCTTTGTCGGCATGCACGATTGATAAACGTTAAACCAATCACAGTACAGGAAAAATTCAATTTCCCCAGAGCCAATGCGATCCTAGCCCGCGCACAGGCATTGCTCTGGGTACGAGATTGAGCTCAATCAAAAACAATTTGGTTGATTGAAATTTTTATCTGTAAATTTTAATGACACACAAGTTTAATGACACACAAAGCAAAATTTTTTTCTGTTTTCCCGCCAGATAAACGACATCCGGGACACTGGTCCAGATACGGAAAATACGGACCACGGTCCGGATATGGGTTTTTACGGACCGCTTGTCAACCAATCACAACAGAGAATTTTGAAAAGCCATATAATAATGTCGAACTTGATCAATCGAGGTACTCATGCACGTAAAAACGCACGAGTTGTAACAAACCTGCAGCAGACTTGTAGCAATGTAGACTTTCCAAAGTCCTTTCCATGTCACTTGCAGCGCGCCAAATATCACAGGTGGAAAAATCCACCGGTGACGTCATTGCTTACATTGAAGGCCGAAGCGGTTACATTATCGGTCATTATCGAAGGAGTCTAAAAATAATATTAGGCTATATTCTCAGGCTTTTTGTTGAACAAATGTGTATTATTGAAGCAAACAGAGTAAACAATGTAAATACAATTTTCTAGAACACAAAAACGATGTGAAAATACACAAACAAACATTACATTGAGTATATTATTTTTAAATATAAAAGTACAGGGTTTAGAAATAAACTTTAATACTGTCATCGAAGATGCATCTGATGATTCTAAAATTTCCTCACTAGTTTCGGGTTTAGTTTGGGTTTCTTGATCTCGATTACTGATTATTACAAATTCGTTTGTTGACAACTCACTACAAGGCTGTTGAGCTCAACAGACTTGTTCCAACAACTTGTTATCGTCCTGCAACCTTGTAGCAACTTGATAAAATAACAACATTGTTACAAATTGTTGACAAGCTTGCTACAAGCCTGTTGCGAACACATCTTGTTGACTTGTTGTTTTACGTGTGTATATAGTGACGTGTACACGTGTTTTCTAGTTGGGGTTAATAACTAAAATATCTTACCTATAATAACTTATTTTAGCCAGTTATTGACTGAGGAAATTTAGGTTTAAGCCTTTGTGGAATATAACAGTAGTTTACACTTTATAATTTAATAACGTGTATACTCTGCAAGCATGTTTAATTATTATACATTTATACGTTCAACACTGTAGTTTCAATCAGAAAACGTTTTAGACTTTTAGGGATACACTTCCACTTCACATAATGTAAGAATTTTGTGTGGTCCAGGAATTATAATATTTACATATCTTCCGATCATGGGCTGTGGACACGTGATACTCTTGGTGATTACAGTGCTCATTGAATGTTTTCCACCACAAGTGGGATTAGAGTTGCCATTGTTATTCAGAGACAAGCCAATCCTTATCTCAAAATTCGAAAGTCGGGATGTACAGCAGTCGGAGCGATTGGTGATGATCAGCTTACGAATGGAGTACTATATAGAACATTGAAAACAAATGAAGAATTAAAACGTTACAACTGAATAACCTGAAATTATCAAATAGTTTATTTTATTTTATTTTATTTATTTAATATTCGCCCAAATCAGTTTATAAAATTAACAATTTAAATAAAAAGTATTTACAATAGTAGGGCTAGGAACCTTCTAGAAACAATAAGGCTTTTATTTAAGGTCCCTAGTTACAATTCAATTAATATAATTGCAAGCCATAGAACAACACATAGCGCCTGGGTACGAGGCAAAGGTCTCCGTACTAGGTTAAGCCTTAAGTTCGCTAATGACGGCGGCTCATATCAGTGAACAGGCCCTAAGTTTTGTCTCGTATAACCCTAAAATTGTCGACCCGACTCAAGACTAAAATACTTCAGTTGTACCTACTTGACTTGAAAGATGTTTTTAACTTTACCTCTGGGAGTTTAGAATGCATTGTAATCGTATACGAGCATGTTAAAACTCCATAAATTGTACATGAAAATTTTAATTTCAAGTTAAAACGACTTCGAAAATGGTCCTGTCAGTTCGATTAAGAATGTTTCAATGAGCAAAGAGTTTTTACTGTTTTACGCGCTGCGTTAAATTCATCAGCACATAATCCAGTGGCGTAACGTTATATCAGGGGCCCCCGGTTCAAAATTTTCGAAGGCCTCCCTAGGATTAGGAGAGGTGCCAAAGGCACGAGTCGAGCGCCGTATATTTACGAGTTTTCTTTGGGGCCCAGGGCATGCTCACCCGGAAAATGTTTTAATCTATAGAGTCTCTGAAATAGTGACATTTCCTGGACTTCGGGGACAGATTTTACACGATTCTGATGGTCAGAAGACGACATTGTAACATATCGGAGGCTTTCCCGGCCAATGTTTTTGCTCTACAGCCCGGGGGCCCCATTTGGCCCATTGTGGTTGGGGGCCCCCGGGTTCGCCCGGTCTGAACCCATAGTAGTTACGCCACTGACATAATCATATTCATATATTGAGCGATACCAAAAACTTTGAAATAACTTCCCAAGTATAAAATATTACTTGGGCATTCAAATTATAACAAAGGTGAATTTCTAAAGTTCACTTTTATTTAGACACCCCGCATATCTGATACAGAATTATGCTGATTTACATAAACTTTAAGTTCAATTTTGTCACCGAATATCATTAATTTATTTTAAAATGTTGAATAATACGAACGTTCTCATCGAGACATTTCATAAGCCATTTACAACATTCACGTCCATGTTGTAAATAAATGGATAGGAAACTAGCCGACGTGACCTAATGTTTTCAATGGGCTGATGGTGTGGTTGGATGTTCAAACCTAGTTGCAAACCAAATTCTCAAAAACGGCATGTTTAGCAATAATACAGCTAAACATTTTAGTCAAAAAGCGAATAAATATAACTACGCTATTCTACGATGAAATCTCTAAGTATTCCCAGTCAATTTTAGCAAATATTTCAAGCACTAAACCGTGAAAAATGCATCGCAAATTTCGTTAAAATTGGCTACGCCAATTTCGTACTGTAGCTACAAATGTAAAAAAATACAAAACAAAGACGAAAAACATTTATACCTTGAATACTTTGTCGTGGCTTAGGCATTTTTTTAAAACAAATAGACCAGTGTATGCTTCAATATTACTCTTTTAAAGCGGAAAATATAGCGAAACAACAAAAATGCTGAGAACTTTGGCAATGCGCGTGACGTCACAGATTGCAACTAGGTTTAGACTGTGATGTCAGGAAGTTTCCTATCCAGCTATTTTACAATCCATGGTTATATCCTTTGTGCTAAAGAGGGACCCCGGCTTTAACTGGAATAGGGTCCCTGGTCCTGCCCATTCAAAGTGACGAAGTAGGGCGGTTACGTCAAAAAGATACAAAATTGCTGAAATAAATCAACGTCGCCACTTTGTCATACTTGTCCAACACCCCCTAATTGATTGAACCAGGCGGCGCCCAAAGGAGCTACGCCACTGACAAACTCTCCCCTTGAACATCCGATACAACACGGCGCTCATGTTGTAAATAGTACATATGCTCACTTGGTCATTATAAAAAAACCCAGCTTTCAATCATACCTACCCCATTTTGCAAATCTACTCGCCACCATGGGGAGTTCGTCAGCGGTGTGTGCGTACATGAATATTCACCAAAATTGGGATTTTTGTTACCATCAACCGCTCTTCTTGCTGGAGCATTATGTGTCGTTGCGGATTGACTTGCAGGCTTATTTTGGGCCAGGTTGATTATTAAATGCCAGTCTGTAAGAAATGAAAACAATTTTATTTCCTTTTGTTCACTATTTATTCTCTCTAAAGTTGGCTGCTAGTTTCAAATTGAACAATGTTGACATAAAGTCATAAAATGAAACAAATGTAATAAAACACACTGTTTATTTAAAATTAACATTCTTCTTTGTTGATGTGAATTTATTTTCTTCGTAACTATACGGACTGGGAATCCCGAAACATCGAGTTGGATTCGAGTTCGAGTTAATCTTCGAGTTAATCTTCGAGTTACTTGTACACCGGCATTTCCGATGTTTTGGTAATTTCTGAACAATTCCGATTCTTGTTTACTTCTTCGAAACTTGAAAAAACGTGTTATTATGTTAAATTTACCGTATTATAAATCGTTCTTTCGTTGTTGCACGTCTTATACTGACCTCAACCGACCCCCCTGCGGCTGAGATCAGTTTGCTATGTTTCTCCGCAATTCCGGGGGGGGGGGGTCAGCTGAGATCAGGCAGACTAACGGCGGTGCGAAGATATAAATTTTACCTTTGAATGGTGAAAACAATATTTTACGAATAAAAGCGCAGCGAGTGAGTAAAAAATATTGTTATCACCATGAGAAGATAAAATTAATATCTTCAGGTCACCATGTATTTAATGTTCTTTTTATTATATAGTCGTTAGTAAACATGACAAAGAAAATGAACACGTGATCGATATCTTCACTAGTGAAGATCTGGAAAATATCTCACTGTGTATTTTTTGTTGTCTCACTGTCCACTATATAATACTGAATTAGGGTACGAGTGCTTTTGTTTCGAATTAAGAATACAAATAATGAAGTACATGATATGAGGTATCTCTGTAAAAAGATTTTATTATAACATTTCAAAATTGTGCAGAAACCATGTCAGATCAGGGGGTAGATCCTTAATGAGGTATGGACTAATAGCAGCTGCTTAAACCCGCCATCTGTAGGTTCTCGGTCTGCTTCACGCCAGTTCCCGTCCTAATGTAGCCAATCACTAAAAAACCTGATAGGGAGTGGCCTGTGCAATATCTGTAACTGTAATATGTAACTCAAAATTACCACAAGGTGTTGTGGAAACACAACCGACAAAAAGCTTACTGCGCATTTCCGATCGCGGACGACCACAATGCAGGCCTACAGCTACGGTAAACAATGGTTTGAGATAAAATTTTCCCATATGTGTAAATTCGCTTCAGACTCGCTCGCTCCGCAGCAAAAAAGGTTCGAACAATGAACGTGCAGTAGCAAATTCCAAAAAGATGCCGCATGTGACCTATTTTTTGCAAAATTGGGTGAATTACAATGTAATTTTCCCGAAGAGTAAAGAAAAATCAACTCGAAGTCCAACTCGAAGTCCAACTCGAACTCGAATCCAACTCGGTGTTACCTAATTAGCGGGAATCCCGAAACATCGAGTTGGATTCGAGTTACACTTCGAGTTGTTTTTCACCAGCATTTCCGAATGTTCCGGTAATTTCCGAACAACTCCGATTCTTGTTTAGTTCTTCGAAACTTGAAACACGTGTTATTACACATATAAATATGGAGAATAAAAAGTATGTAAATTTACTGTATTATAAATCCATAAGGTCACATAGAATAAATCGGAATTATTTTTTTATTTATTGATATATAAATTATATAAATATAAAAAATAAACCTCCCGCCTCTTGGACATTTTCAAAGTGTAGTGATGAGAATGAAGGAATTTATTTTATGTGGCCTAAATGTGTATGTAAATTTACTGTATTATAAATCGTTTTTATAATCACTTTGTTATTATACGTCTTATAAAATACAATAATTACTATGTGTATTTTGGAAAAGAATATATTAAAATTTGTACATTTTGCGTATTGTTTCGTTCAAAATATTCGAAACTATCTAATATTAGTCTTGAAAAGTCAAGGTCCAAGGAGAGTGTATATAGAGGGCATTCGACTGATTCGAGTGGTGATAATTGTAATAAAGTCGTAAACTAAACTCAAAACCCATATATTTGTACATTACAGCCCGTTTACACTACGCTCAATTTTTGGTACGGCACAGATAAAATTGGTACCCGTACCACTTTTTTGGTTCTTGGACTACCTATTTAGCTAAGCCCCGTTTACACTACGCTCAATTTTTGGTACCGTACCACTTTTTGGTTTTCCATGCAAGAACCAAAAGTGGTACGGGAACCTATTTTATCCGTGCCGTACCAAAAATTGAGCGTAGTGATAAACGGTGCTTACATGTCCTGTTCACTGTTCGGGGTCGTAGTAATTCGACGACCATTTATTAAATACGAAGGACTCAGCGGATATGAAACAGACTCTTCGTCGTCGTATAGGTATGTCAGAGGGCGCGCATTAGCAATCGCTTCAACTTCTGTCAACACTGTTCTCATCTCTTCAAATGATAATGATGCTTTTCCAATTAGACAATTTTTCAGACAACTCTTGACGCTCTTCACGAAGCGCTCCCAAAAGCCTCCCCACCACGGAGCTCGCTCAACTATAAAGTACTACGTGAATCTATTGTTTGCGAGGTGTCTCTTTACTTCATCAGATCGTATAATCTTGGTTACTTCCTTGGCTTGATGACTTGAAATTCTTCGCATTATCGGACAACAAGGTTGCTGGCAATCCCCCTCCCCCGACCAGAGAACCTACGAAACGCTTGCAAAAATAACGGAACATCCAGACTTGGAAAAGTTCCAAATGAATTGCCATCGTAGATTGGCACGTGAACAGACATACATAAGACTTAACCGTTCGACTTTCGCCTTCCTTTCGACTTCCGCAAAATCCATTCCTGTGTGGTGAAACGGTGGATCCTCGGATACTCTCTCAGCCGGTAAATCTGGCGAATTTCGGGTTGAAACGACTCTCCTTGTAACTTTCGGCACAACACGCACTTTCTTATGACTTTCTTTATCGCCTCGCGCCCACGTAAAATACAAAATCTTTCTCTGATAGTGGACAATGTATCTCTTATCCCACTATGCTTCACTCCTTCATGAACAGCGAGAATGACCAGCTGAACAAAATAATGTTTCGTCGGTAACAAAACAGGAGTCTCAGTCAATTGAGGCAGATCAGCATGTGCAATTCGACCCTTGCACTTGAGGATCCCATTATAATAATAATAATAATAATAATAAAATAATAAAACTTTATTTAATGAGGGATTACATTGATTACTTAATATAGTATTCTTCCCAATGGCCCTCGATATCTAATAGTAATATATAAAAAGAAAATCCTATTGAGAGTAACATTGACAATGAGTAATATGCTTACAATCGATGCAGCGGAATTTATAACGTGATCTACTTCATAATTCAATTGAATAAAGTAGGTTTTGAGCTTCTTTTTATAGGAATAAATTGAGTGATTTCAATATTTTTTAATTCGGAAGGTAAAGAATTAAATAAACTTGCACCTTTGGATTTTGCTTGCGTAGTCTTAACTGATGAAACTTTTAAGTCTGTAATAGACGATCTAGTTGGAATTGGATGAGAGTCGCGAACAAAGACAAACAATTTACGAAGATCCGGCGGCCAAGATGTTTTTAAAGTATTGAATACCATAAATATTTTTCTCATTTTGATCAAATTAAAAATAGGTATCCAGTTGAGTTTACGGAAAAGCACAATTGAAGGCACTTCAGTTGACTGCTCAAGAATTAGTCTCGCAGCACGTTTCTGTAGTTTTAGTAGGCACGTAATTAGATCGTTATTAGCATTGCCCCAGACTGTGCTACAATATAGCAAGTGTGGGTAGATTAGTGCGTAATATAATTGAATACGGGATTGAAAAGTGAGATAGCTACGTATACGTTTGAGCAGGTAAAGTCTGGAATTGATTATATTGTAGATGGTATTAATTTGCTTATCCCATTTCAGATGTTGGTCTAATGTAACTCCAAGTAAAATGGCGGATGTAATCTCCTTAACATTATTGTTATTGACTTCAATGGTTATTGGACTAAGATCAGGGAATTTAGATTGGGAATATATTTTCATTATTTTTGTCTTGCCAGGATTAAGAAACATTTTGTTATGGTTAGTCCAACGGGACACTGAGGTCATATCTGACTTTAGAGAGACACTAAGTTCGTGAAGGTCCGATCCGGAGGATATTAGTGTAGAGTCATCGGCAAATAAAAAAGGCTTCGAACTTCCAACGTAACTGGGTAAATCGTTAATAAAGATAAGAAAGAGAATTGGTCCTAGTATAGATCCTTGAGGCACACCAGACTTTATCAGAGCTGGGTTGGATAGGGATGATGCAATTTGTACTACTTGGTAACGATCATTTAGATACGATTTAAACCATTTTAAAACTATTGGAGTAATGCCATATTGTTCTAATTTCTGCAGTAGCAATCTATGATCGACCAGGTCAAACGCTTTGGAGAGGTCAATTAGAGCTATACTATTAATTAAACCTTGCTCAATGTTATCGAGAAAGTGTTCACAGATCAATATTAGAGTAGATTCACAAGAGTGATGGGCTCGAAAACCATGCTGGCAACTTGATAGAATATCATTTTCTGTGAGGAATTTTACATATGAGTTGGCAACATGTCGTTCGAGGAGTTTAGATAGAATCGGTAATATAGAAATAGTCCTAGTTGAGGAACGAGTGACGGTGTACTCGATTGTTGGTTTCCCTCGAGGTACGCGAGTTCCTTGTTGAATTCCGTCGTTTGAACCGATTTGATCCAGCAGATTTCTGCTTCATTGATTTCTTCGGCTGTCAACTCCACTTGTATGCATGTCGATCGACTCGATTTATCCTTGCCTTGTTGTTTGAAGTACTTGATTGCCCGAAATACATATGCCGTTACTCGAAGGAAGGAGTCCAGGTTGCTAAATCGTTCTCAGTCAATGATTTCACAAATACCCGCACTTCTTTTCAATCCATTCTGATTGATCATCACGAACGTTGTCGGGGTTAGATGTGTCACCAGCTCGTCAAACGCGTTGCCATTATCGATTACCGGACTCACTGGCCATTGGTCTTCCGAAGGAATTCTGGACCAGACCACCACAAACAGTTATTCACAAGGTCAGCCCCACTAATCCCTCTCGATGGTACGTCAGCAGGATCAACTGTTCTGGACAATGTCTCCACACTCCACCCTGGGTCAGGCTGCGTATCTCTTGTACACGATGTTGCACGTATTGTTTCCACAACAGTTTCAACGGGTATAGTTTTCACAAATTCTCCAGCGGTCCAGCATCAAAAATAATTCATGAGACACGCAAGCTTAATACTCTTCTGGCTCCATCAGGGTAGATGTAGTGGTGCCGTGGAGCTTTGAAAAGAGTTGATGTATCGAACTGAATCCATCGGGATTTAAATTATACATTCTGCTAGTTGATGATGAACGTTTTTTTCGTAATACTGAACAAGCTGGAGAATGTACATGTGACATATTAGCGCGGTTCATAATATTTATGAAACAACAATTTTTCGTTTTTGTTTTGAAATCTTTATACTTTACCTTTCGGTGTCATTAATAATAACAAACATTCTCACTACTGTTATAAAATTTAATAACCGTATCGTAACTAATTCAATTTTAATTATTTTAAGAATTGTTGCAAACGAGAGATGTATATTTAACTTTTCTTTTAGGACGTTTGATTTTCTATAACCTTAACCATTTTTGTTATCCTTTTATTTTGTTACCTTGATTTTCTTTTTCTAGCTTTCTAATCCTTTTTCCTTGACTTTGGATTTTCTTTTCTTGACTTTGAAGTTTGTTTTCTTGAATGTTGATTTTATTAACTTGACCTTGAATTTTCTTTCCTTGAATTTGAATTATGTTGTCTTGATTTCGAATTTTCTTTTCTTGAATGTTAGTTTTGTTCTTTTGATTTAGAATATTCTTTTCTTGATTTTGAAGTTTCATTTCTTGAATGTTGGCTTCATTTTCTAGACTTTGAATTTTCTTTTCTTGACTTTGGATTTGTTTCTTGGTTTGCTCAAACTACAATAGATTTAATCTTCAGCGATGCGTGTGTATATACTAAATGTCGAATGCCTGATTAAAAGGACGAATCATGTAAATCCGCCATATTGAATTTGACTAGGAGTAATTGTGTTGTTGTCTTTAATAACCGTGCTACATTCAGGCACGATACGCATGTTGTTTTTTTTATAGAGAATACTTTAGGAAAGGAAATAAACCTTTCTTTTTTGCATGAATTTACGTTGAAAATATGTTGAACTCAGCTCGCCTCCGATTTCTTCAGCTAAATACGTCTTAAAATTGTAAGCTAAAAATATCCTCGTGTATTCGGTGTATACTGCATTGTGTGTCATACTCGTATAGTATATTCTAGACTGACTCATTAATTTCAGCTACATAATGTAATGATGTAGTTCAACAGTGCAAGCGATGTTATATTCCCATTTAAACTAACCTCTTGTTCAGTACTTAATGCTTGCCACTTTGATCCTTGATTGACATAAAGTTGTTTATCATCTTTACGATATGAGAGAAGACCTGGAACATCTGGAATCTTGTCAAAACTTTCCTTGTCTGATACTGTCAATGTCTAGAATAAAGCAAAGAAATGCTTTCTTTCAAATTAAGTACTCCTCTATAACATCAATTAAAAAAATATCCGATTCTTGAGCAGAGGTCGGGCGTCAGAAGTCCGTCTGAGAGAATGGGTTAGAAGTTCAGATATGATGTGAACGGTGATATAAATTTTTGCCTGAAATATTCTACTTACACCTTCGTTTAAAAATGATTTACGTTTTCCTGAGCAGGAACCCTAAAAAAAAACAAATTGCTGGTTAAATTTAATTTGTAATTGTTGTTGTTGTTGTTGTTGTTTTTCTTGTTGTTGTTTTTCGTGTTGTCTTTCTGACTGTCATTGTCATTTTCATTGGCGTTATCTTTATTTTTATCGTTGTTGTTTTTTCCGTTGTCGTTGTCGTTGTTGTTGTTGTTGTTGTTGTTGTTGTTGTTGTTGTTGTTGTTGTTGTTGTTGTTGTTGTTGTTGTTGTTGTTGTCGCTGCTGTTGCTTCTGGTGGTATTGTGCCTGTTTCCATTAATCACAATAGTGTCATCTTAACTTTTAATAATATCCCCACCTTATGTGCAATGCCTGTTTGTGGATCAATGAAATGTTTTTCAAGTTTGCCTGCGGAGTTTTTCACCACAAATTCCATACATCTTTTCCACAGACGTTCAGGCATTCTGGTTCGAACCCAAAACCAAACGGAAGCATTCGTCGTTACAGTTCCACCGTTAATTGCTGTACATTTAGGACCACAGTAGTTTTGTCTTCCACCTTTAGGCCCAAAACATGCACAACACTACAAAATATGGAGGAATGCAACTCTAGTTCTGTCAGCATATTGGACATGCAATAAAATTTAAGACTATATAGTATATAGTATATAAATAGATCATGATCAAATTATCGTGAACAGTGTTTAAAAAATAACAAAGCGTGTTGTCTTAAAGCGTGAACATGTTTTGAAATTTATACATATAATAACATACCTTGCCATGATCACATCCAACAAAAGCTGTGGAATTATGATTCATTCCAGAGAATGAAGACACTGCGCTATAGCTGAAGAAAATTACAAAATTAGGTAACGCCTACGCAAAATGGAACAGTTTTAATGTTGTTTTCTTGTAGGTAATGGACCTTATTGACGACAATCAAAACTCCATGATCCAATACCTGTATGCTCCAAAATTATCGTATTGAAGGTTAATAACATCTAATATTGCATATCCATTCTTGCACGGATTTCGAAGACAATAATTCATTTTTCCCTGAAATGATAAAGTAATTACTTTTTACAAAGAAGTGCGATTTAGAAAGCATAAAACGTTGAGCTTATAGATATTCCAGTACAATAGCAATACCAAAAACAGATTTCCATATACGATTTCTGTACAAGATTACATATATATATATACTATATTTTTTAAAATCAGCTGTATACCCATCCCAACATATGATGTGTATGTGGTCCAAACTTTGAGCACTTGAAGTTATTGGTAAGGACAGATTGAGTCGAGAGATCCTTGACAAACTCGATGTTTCCAATTCCAGCTTGCAGATCCGGACATCCTTTGTTCACAGAAAAAATATCTCCGAAATCCCTTTGCGAATTTAGTCGATAAAACCTGAATAAAAAGAATTTTTATGCTTAGTATACATAGGTAATAGTATGGACTATGGTTTTGAGTGCAATTTGGATAAAAACATACAAATGAGTCTTTGGCAAAGACAATCAAGACTCACGAGTGCTTGTGTTCCCAAATTGGACGTGAAACCATATATTATACGTAATAATAGTATACGTGAAAGTTATGCTGAAGCAAATAATTTTCCGTCTCATTTGAAAGGCACAACAACTTAATTTACTGTCAAAGGCCAAAACTTAAATCAAAATTTCTTTTGTTTTGGCGTTTGCCACATGTTTTATTTTTTGGCATTGTATTTTTTCTTGACACAACACTCGTACGAGTCTCTCCTCCTACAGTTTACAGGTCTTTTCATATACGAGGAGTGGAAAGCAAATCGAATTTAGAAGTGCATCCATTGCATCTTAAACAAATCTATTCGAAAACTCATCTTCTCTGTTGTCTAAGGCTTAAAAGGTGTAATCACAATAAGATTCGTTTATGTTTCCCGGAACTTTCTCAATGAAAGTTTTACGGAAATATTCTTCTCACCAAAGCTTTCTTACCAATCTGCCTTTGTTCCTTCAAAACCTTTATCAGTTGAAAATTGAACTCTAAAGTCCATAACTTTGACATCACCAAGATCACTGGACCAATGTGGGGGTCCTTGAGGATCAACAGGGGTAGAATTAGAAGGTACTGTCCATGATACAGGACTATCCTTCATTCCAACCAACGCAAATCCACCACCATCTGTATGTACGTCACACCAAATCTATCCCAAATAATTTTTGTGTTACATATGTGAACTTAGTCGTGCTTGCTTGTCATAAATAATAAACAAATTAGACTCGTATATGCACGCGAACGTGAAAGATTTTCACGCGCGAGCTTTCAAAACGTTTTCAAGCTAGGTGACTAAAAGAGACAAATACCATGCATTTTGGGGATTATTCGTGTTGCTATGGTAACACACGACACAATGCAAGCCTGCGTTCGGCGTTGGTCAATTACTAATACTTCATGTTAAATCAATGTTTGGAAAATGTAGGCGAGGATTGCTGCACGCATGTATTTCTAATAGCATCTCTAAATTATTAGAATTAAGTGTCTGGGTAAAATTGTTACATTTATTAAGCTGGGATGACCTCGTTTCCGGCATTCTCTATGAAGGATTCGCTAAACAATTTCGAGGTTTAAACTAATTAAACAGTTGTAGCTCAGTTGGTTAGAGCGCTGCACTGGAATGGCAGGGCAACAGGTTCGATTCCTGCCAGGGACCTTTTGTTGAATTTTTTGCAGCTGTTCCTTGGGAGGTCTAATAAATGCATATAACATTCACACTCGATAATTCCCATCTACAAAACCGTTCAACTAATAGACAACTTGCATGTTAGACAATTTTATCTAGGCAAAAAAAAGTAAATTCCCGTAAAGAACTTATTGAAATTAGTAAAATTGCAAAATTTGCAAGACTATATTTTCACCAAGCTTTACAACATTTCGCAACCAAATTTTGCAATTTTACTAATTTTGTTATGTTCTTTTTAGCTGTGGTGTTTGATTACCTTCCTTTTACTTAGATCGAAATTTAGTCTAACATGCAAGTTGTCCATTAAACACACCATTTACCTTGTATAGTATTATCGTTGTTAGCGAATGTACATTTTTGTTCTATTTATTTGAAAAGGCACTTTTGTCCTTGCCAGAAACGTTTCACTTCATATCCTCGTACTGCGTTTTTACTTCACTAAAGTCACTCTCTCCTAAAACCTGGTTTGCCAAAAGGCCTGGTCGCATGGCATGAGAAGGCCAGTGGAGAAGGCTAATTGGTAGACATGACATAATCCGAAGACATACCTTCTGCTTCGTTCCTTTGGGCAGAACAATGCGGTAAAATCCATCCTCAGCTTCGGGTAATTGATCAACAATATCAGTACAATCTCGAGCTGGGTTGAATATCTCACCCAATGTCGGAGAACCTGTGATAAGATACTAAGGTTACACACTCTGAATCTACTTATTTATTTTTCCAAAGAAATACTTGCTTTCATTAAAACTCACAAAGGTCTATATTACAACATACACATAAAAAGGCCACAACGCTGTTTTGAAGTGACATAGGTTCTTTAACACAGGAAAGCAGAATAGGTTAAACCGATTGTGTGAATTGGGCGCATGGGAAACGGTAGGGTTTGCAGCTCATGCTAATTTTCATAGAACAGTTTATCACACTAAACGTTAGTTTCTTTACCGTCAAGAAATTTCCATTGAGGAACGCCTTTAATTTTTTCTGTACAAATCAGAAATTTCACTCGCCCAGTTCTGTCTGTGTGGCTGAGGTGTTGGCCAATGTTGCATTTGGAAAACTTCTGAAATATAGTCATGCAAAACAAAATTTTATTACTCCGTATAGAAGTAATA